ACGTCGCCTACATCTCCTGCGACAAGTGGTGCGGTTAGCCCTGGGGTTCCTTCGGCCTCTGTTGTATCCAAGGATTCCAATGTTTTGCGGTTGTCATCTTCGGTGACGAGACCCGCTGCGTCGTTGCTATTATCGAAGCCCTTCAAGTGTCCCAAGCCGAATTGCAATAAGAGTTATAAGCAAGCTAATGGTACGTCACCCTTTCAAGCTCTTTCAAGCAGTGCACTTATGTCTCTTGAATCTATCAGGTCTAAAATACCATATGACACATGGCAGTTGCAACTTCGCGCCTCCAAAAGATCTTGAACATGTCCAGGCACTTTTGGAGCGTAAACGTCGAGACAGAGCAGCGGCTGCGGCCGCCGGCGGATATCCTGAATCATCTGATGCTTCGCAGCCTTCTACACCACTCCCATCGAATCCATCAACTCCTACATCTCCCTATCCTGATTTACAAATTTCCGATGCGGAGATGCGTGAAGTGGAGCGAGAGGCTGAACGGCGTCTGAGGCCTTTTGCCTGCGGAGTTGGTGACTGCCAGAGAAGATACAAGAACATGAATGGGTTGCGATACCACTACCAGCACTCGGGGGAACACGGAGCTGTCGGATTGGCGTTATTGGCCAGTGGAGTCCACGAGTGTCTCGGCAATAACGGGGGTAGCAGCAGCGCGAGTAACAGTCGCGAGGCTAGCGCCGTCAGAGGTGACAGGGAAGGGAGGAAGATACGTGTTGGTGGCAGTGCACCGGGCAGCCGTTCGGGTAGTTTAAGTCGCACCGGGACTCCGGTGCCTGCTGTAGGTATGGGACAGCTACCTAACCATACACAGCAGTACGCCCCGCCGTCGCAGCCGCCCCAGTTTCAGAACCAGATCGCGTACCAGCAACGATTCGCAGAACACCAGCGTGCACAATATGCGCAGCAGTTCCAGCAACAAGGAATGATCGTCCAACAGTCACAGCAGTATGCTGCCGTGCTCTATCCGCCTACGTCTGCGGTCGGGATGGACGTTGCCATGTCGGGGTGATTGCTGTTTCTAAGAACTCGGTGGAGTTGCCCAGTCATTCTTTGTGTTGTCCACGTCGACTTGGAGCCTTTGCGTGATCGGTCGATTTGTCGGATTAAAAAGTATTAACCTATACATACCTATTTGTTTCTCACTATCCCTCCCCATCGCATGAATCTTTCTTTATTGTTTCTGTTGCCGTGTTCCAGTACCTTATTTCTCACATTACTTGCTTTACTAGTACATTCTTCGACCTTTTCTTTCTTTTTTCCCGGCTTTCTCATCCGATACTCACCTTCCTCCCTCCCGCACTCGCCGCCTCGCCAACAACCAGCATCGGCCCCGTAAACAGCTTCACCGCCACTGCTTGCACGACCTGTCATTCCGCACTTGCAGGGTTGATCCTTGTACGCGGCGAGCATGCCTCCTACGAATGCATGTACGTTATCGTACGGCCGACATCGACAAAAAGTCATTCCTTGCCCAAAAAATCGAAAAAGCTCAAAATTAGACATTCCGGCGGTGCAAGTTGGGGCGACTACCTATCTTCCATGCATTCAGGGAGACTGCTTTCATTAATCCGAATTCTCTCTGTGTCAATAGATACGACCTCCATTTTCAGCCGTCATCACTATTTCGGTTCTCGGTCTCCGTATGCTCGTATCGTCCTTGTTGTCATCGTCGCTATCTATCATATTTCCGTTCCCCCCATCATCACCTACATTAGTTGCCCTCACCACTTGTCTTCTATTACTTACCTCGATTAAGTACGAGGTATATCTACTGTATACGATATACTTACTGGCTCAAATGTAGCTCCTGTATATTTTGTATATCTTTTGTTCCCATGGTGGCGGCGCACACCATGCTCAATGAGAGAGTTGTATATAATATGAAGGCTGTCTCGACATGTTCTAGAGTAGAATTCTGGATTGCGTCTCTCCAGGAGGTGGCGCTTGGAGAAGCTGCGTTCACATGGATGTCAGAATGCATATTGTGTCCGGGGCTGAGAAAGAATCGCTCTTTGGACGCTCCGTTCTATTCCCAGCGTGTTTTGATACAGGGTCGTTTGACTAACGTATAGAACAAAGAAGCGACGGGGCCAACATGATAAATTGCGCCTAGACGGAAGGTGGTGATTTCCCCAGCATGCACGTCCCGGTCAGTAGGTTTCTTTGTGTACAAGAACGGCCAAAGGGGAAGAGTAGGGAGGGCGGGGAAGAACCGGAGTTTCAAACCTAGCCTAGGTAAGAAGGTGACCCTCGCCACAGAAGCGAGTAGGAAATAAAACGATCGGTAACTCGGGCGGGCATCCTACTGGTTAGAGTTTGAGCTTACAGATAGAAGTAATACCCCAAGTTTGGAAACAAGGACCCTGGTAGAACGTTAAACGTGTGAGCATGGGGGGTACGACGCGTCATGCATTATTAACATTACGCGACTCGTTTCTTTTTGGAGGAACGTGTTTTGATCGTGGGTCCGTCGGAGCGCAGGAGGAGTGGCTTTTTGTGACAGATCAACTCAGTGTACCTCTCTCTCTCTCTCTCTCCACGCCACGAGAAATTAAATGTTAAATGTGGCCTCGTGGCTTGGAAGGAAGGAAGGAAGGATTTGGAATGTGAAAGGGTTTAAAGACCGGTTTTCTGGATAAGATTTCCTAAATTCCTAATGAGTTCCGAATGTCTTCAAGGCTCATTATGTATATGTATTTTCGGTGGATGTATACGTAGATTCCGAGTTTTTGGGAGAAAATTCATTGCTGAGGTCGAGCGGGTATGTAACGTTTGCTTCAAAGTTTTTATCGATTATCATAGGGACTTCTTTTTGGTGCCTTGGTAGATACCGCGATATCCCGCAAGTTTTTATCGCGCGTTCGTGTAGCACAAAGTCTTCTTCGTTGCGGTCTAGGCCTCAACCCGCCCCAACACCGCCCGCTATAAGGCGTCGATATTAGTCCCAACGTCCGACAACATCCTCTCGTCCAGATATGGAGATGGAAAGCCCCGGATAGTGGAATCGTGAGGAAGGATGATGAGGTAAGAGTACCACTACTTCACACGTCCGTCCGTCACATACTATACATTCCCCGGCGAGCAAGGCACCGGCATGCTGGGTATTCCGTAGCGTTTTAGTAGTAGGTGAAGTATGAAGGGTTGTCATTGATTTTTCAACACAGCTCGTTATCTTCGTCTCTTCTAGCAGCCGATCCCTTCTTACACCGTGTTGGCTCCCACGTCCGTGATGTGCTGAAGCTATGACTTTTTCTCACGCTCTACTACATGCCTCTCTCAATGACATATCCTTCCTGTTATCTTGTTTCCGCTTGCATTTCACCTTTCTCCCGTCAGCCTGGGCTTGGTGTTAAGATGAACGCGGCAGGGTTTTCTGCCCACGGCTCGCTGGTGCTCAATTGTAATGGACTCCTCTAACGCAGCTCAGGCTGTCCTAAGCACATAATCCATCTGGTACCAGGACGTATTGTCCACCAAGGCATCAGAGTTCCAGCGAACTGGGAAAATTTGGCGTTGTTGTCTTTCTTCAGCGCTTCGACGACATCGACGACCCTCTTCGCGCTAGCACCAGACTCCGTCCCAGCACAACCACAAACCCCTCCTCTTTCAGCTCATCAGCATATTGCACCGCCAACATGTTCAAAGCCGCCTCTCCGCAGAGGCTGATGCGTTTTCGATAGCCCCAAATGAGACCTTACAAGGTTTCCTCTTCGGCCTCATTTTTTATACCCTCGTTTTAAGCGAAAAGGTACGATAGTTCTATTGTTCCATAGGGAGAAAAGTTTTTTCTATCACGTTTTAACTGGCGGCTTTTTCAGTACCGAGAAAGGCTTTGCTGAAATGAAACCTTTTGAGTTTTCGTTTTTTTACGAGCTGAAATGCGCTGGCATCTGTTGTGCTTACTGAATAGATCCCTGAACGGACTCTCCGTGTAAGGGACGCTGCAATTTGGAAAGAAGAGGATGCGAAGATGATCCTTTTCTCTCTCCCTTGGCGGAGGGTGGGGAGGAGATGCGATGCGGTGCGGGCTGATGAGGTTGGTGGCAAGGTAGGATTCTAGAGTGGAGGATGTCGAACCCGCCTATGGCAGCGTTGATGATGATGATGTCTAGAGGCATCGGAGGTGATATCGACGTCAGTGAGGGTGTCGATGCCTTTGAGTGGAGTGGTGCTACGAGTGTCATTCGAGAAACGGGATGTCTGACGTGATGATTGTAGTCGTGCTTGGGAGGAGGGCAGGCGGGTCCCCTGTGTGATGGTTTTATTCTATCAATTCTTCATTTCAAGTGCCAGTTCGCATCTTGGGGATTCTTATGTTGGGGGTGATGATCGCTTTAATTTATAGCTCCGTGGAAGAATAACCTTCCGGGAAAAAAAACAATGAATAATGGAGGAGCAAGACTTTAGTGACGGCCTGCGTGTCATGTACTGGCCAACCGGGTTTTCAAGTCATTACCGCTGACTTGTACGGGCAACTAGTACGCCCGAGAAGAAGACGAAACCTTACTAGGACTGGTGCGACGACCCGGAGGTGTAAATCCAAATAAAACTGTGAATAGGGGTGGAAGAAGAACGACTATCAGATCGTAAATTATTGACCGTTGGCGGAATGGATACAAACGAGTCCCAAGGTCTACGCTTCTTATGTCTGGAGAATCTAGGGACTGACCCGTTTAATATTGCTCGTCACCTGTCAGCATCCGGACACTCTCAGTCGGCTCATAAATCGCATTTACAGTGGGAATGTTCGTTGAAAAGGCGGGGAATGGGAGAAGGGATAGTATGGTGCGAAATTTGGCTTTTGAGAGAGGAATGTTGACAGCGGGGGGGGGTGCTAGTTAGCTGCGGTAGTTAATATTACACGCCAAGTAGTATCAAGGAAGGGTGTAAACTGATTGAAAACAGTCTCTTGAGGACAAGTGAACTGCGCTCCAGGGCACGTGGTGGGCACTGGGCAAAGAAAAAAAGTTATACCTGATTACGGGCTTGACTGGGAATTGAACCCAGGACCTCCTCGAGGAATATATCCTGGCGAATTGCCCTAACAAGGAATCATACTACTAGACCATCAAGCCGCGATTAGCATTTCTATCGCTATCTTTCCAAGCCCCCCTCCATACATATACTCGACCCATCTACGACCGTAACGATTCGAATAATACCAGCAAACGCGGAAAGTCTCACCTAAGAACGTAGTTCAGCATCCCTTGATGGACTGGGATGACGAGTACACTCTGCCAGCCACCTCGTCCAAAGGCGACGCTCTCGACTTTCTCAATCTCAATGCGCCAGAAAGTGAGATGCCACTCTCCGAGCTCATCCGGCATTGGATGAACGAACGACACGCGCCGACGATCCTTGCAGCGCAAGAACAGCTTTTAGGCTTGTTACTCGACCACATACGGCGGCAGGTTCGCTCGCTCTCGTATTATTCAGTGTTCTCGTTATCTGATTTTCTTTTTTGTTTGTAGACAGACACGGTACAAGCACTCCGTGGCGACCCCTCCACCTCGGAAGAAGAGCATGTCCGTATCATGCTCGTACAGACAGAGGTGGAACGCGTCAAGTTTATCGTGCGCTCGTACATCCGGACGCGGCTCTACAAGGTGCAAATAACGTTCGAGAGCAGCCGAATGAGACTGAATGCGAGAGTAGATTGAGAAGTATGCGAGGTTCATTACTACCGATGCAGAGATCCAGACGCGACTGACGATGGCGGAAAAAGCGTATGCGAGCAGGTGGGTTGGATTGAGTTTTGCTGGTATTGTTATATTGTAGTACTAATTGATGTCAGTCAAGCGCAACATACGGATCGACATTTACATTATTCGGTGCTTCAGAGTCTGCCACCAGCACAGGCGCACCTCGATGACCAACCCATCTTTGTCCCACCCATGAGTATATCTGTTGACTTAGTATTATCCTGCTGTTTTCAGACTTTTCTGCAGTAACACAACCGAACAAATCCCGTGCCGTCTTTGCTTACGCACTCAAAAAATGCCCGCCTGTCCGTTTGCCAGAGTACGTGATATCGAATCCTTACCTCTCCCTCTTTCTAAACATTTTACAGCGGGATGACCCTCTCTCTGGAGAAAGATCAGCTCACGCTCGTCCCATTCTACGCCGTAGAGCATCTGGTAGAACGAGGGGATGCAGAACTCGTCTGAATGTAGAATATTTGTGTATTACTATACTATATAATATTAATGCTACCGTCTAGGCATGAATGGCTTGTCGTCTCCATCCCAGTCGTCATCATTCCCATGGCCATTCGTAGTTTGCTCTTCCCTTTCGTCTTGCTCTTCCTGTTCCGGCTCCTGTTCCGGCTCCATCACCACGTCTTTTACCTCCTCCTGCTCCTTCACCTGCTCCTCGCCCTTCTTCTTCCTTCTCCTCTTCGTCGGTGCCCCTTCACTACCTCCATCCTTCGCTGCAGTGCCCTCCTTCTTCGCCTTTCCCCTCTTCCTCTTCCCACCCTCCGCCAGCTCTACATCCATATCAATCGTCCCACCGGCTGAAGGGTCCGGCACGCCCTCCACGATCTCCTTCAAGAAATCCAGCATCTCCGTCGTCTCCACGGCATGTTTTCTATATCAGTGTCAGAGTATCAGCATGGATGGCCACGACACGCAGGATACGACACGCACAGATGATATGCCTCCACCTTTTTCGACCCCCGTTCCGACGTGACTTTGTGTGCTTCTTCGATGATGAGCCCAAGGAACATCTCCAGAGCTTTCGCTGCATGTACGTCAGAGGTTACTCGGTGCTTCGAGCCTGGGAGGCGTACATATCACGATGGGCGTCGCCTGTGCTACCTTGCCAACTTCTTCGTCTTTCTGCATTATTTTCTTTATCCTGGCCTACTCGGGCTAGTCAGTAAGGTTATCATTACAGGGCGCGAACTCACGACGGGGAATTTTGTTTGTCGGTTCTTGTTTTTCATTTCGGACAACAGCAAGGAGATGTGTTCAAGGAAGGCTAAGATGATGAGTAAACAGGATCACGTCCGTCGGAGATTCCCTGAGCACGGCCACGGCGGAGTCCGAAGCAGATGAAGTCATTAGGGTATATGATACTGGGTTCAGTTCTACTGAGGAGGTCCTAGGTTTGATTCCCAGTAACACCGGGGAGAACTCTTGCACAGGTATAATAGAAAATATCACTGCTTTTATTCTTACATTTTTAAGGTATTTTCTATTATACCTTTGCAAGATGTTTCCCCACTGTCAGGCTCACTTAAAATCGTATTTGTCTTAAAAGGCTCCTGCTAAATCCCCGACAAGGATAGTAGTCCAGCTTAGAACGTCCGGACGGGGAAAATTTCAATTGGGACTCAGGGGATTCAATCCAAGCGTACAGGGACTTCAATATCGCCACTAGGAAAGCACCTTAAGATGAATATCCGAAACTCAGGAATATTAGCATAGCAAGGGGTATAGTGAAGCACTGCATCGATTCCATCCATTAAATAAGATGAATCCTGAGGTCGGAGTATACATGTCATAAAATAGTTGTGGCGTGTCCCTGGTGCGCTTTCAAAATAATCAGCGAATCAACGCAGCACGCAGATTGAAAAAAAGGCACTTTACCATGGGTAGGAGGTAATTGGACAAGGACAAGATGAATGTTCTCTTGATGTAGCATGCAGATCAGATCCTTATACGTTTCCTTGTCGAGCATTAGTGATGGTATCATTACACTATGGTAGTACAGCCAAATAAATCATGGATATCTATACAGGCGGTGACAGCTTTCGCTCCCTGCGCAACAAATATTCAGTTTATTCCTTCGTGTTTCAGCTAACAATGATATTACCCATTCGCATTCCCCAGTAGCTCCTCGAACCTTCGCCTGAAATTCTCTAGCTGCGAATCAAACTCGTGTCCGGTACTGTGTCCGTGGTCCATCTGGAATGCCTGGCACTCTCGGATGAACTGCTCGAGATCTTTGACGCGCATTATGGATAGTTCTGGCTCGTTGGAACCGCGAGCTCGAGCGAGATATGAGGCTACCATAGTTGAGATGCCTCCTGGAAGAAAAATCAGTGTGGGGGATGGGTATGAGTTTCTTTTGTGTTCTCACCGATGATGGATATGGCGATCGAGGTCTGTTGAGGCATTGAGCGAAGAGGAATTTTTCATAGAGAGAGCTAAGAATCTGACCTGTTTGCCGGAGGTCGCAGCCGATAACCCCGTCGTAAGTGCACCCAACAGGACCTGCAGACCTGAAAGTCTTGAGCACGACTAGTAACGCCTGTCTGATAACCAGCTAGCTACCCACCTATCGCAATATTAAGCGCATAACCTGTCATCCTCGCTTTCAAAACATATTTTTCCCTCGCCGTTTCCGCGGTACTCAGGGTAGGCTGCAAGCGCTCGCCTACTGTTTTAAGACGTGGGGGCTATGTATAAAGCGTGGATTTAGCCACACGTACTCTTCCATGAGGCCAAACGCACTTTTTCCGACCTATCAATGGGGATGATCCAGTCAATATCGGATCTTCGTGAGGCCCGCCGCCCCGGTGAGATTGAGTCCTGACGCACAGCGTCTGGTAGGGGAGGTAAGGGGTTGTTCGAGAGGCTGTGAAGGGGTGCGTACGATGCGTCCGACCTGGGCGCGTCACCTTGGTCGGACAGCGGTGAGCTGTGTCTGATAGAAGTGTATGGCGACTGAGTCCTCTCTGGACCGATTATTGGGACTGGAGCCGCAATGGCAGGTCCGGGGCCAGAGTTGAGAGCCAGGGAGGAGCTGCCCTGGGTCTGAGAGTGAGAGTTTCCACTACGGTCGAGAGCCTGAGAGTGATCCATAGCCAAAGGTGACCGATGAAAGGGTATTTAGAGTCTCCCTAAGCGAGAGAGATGTGTCGAAGTTCATCAGCGACATGCGTACGGCAGCATACTTATATCCATAATTCGGAGGCGGAGACGAAGGTTCGTTGCATCCGCATGTTGCAGATGGAGCTGGTTCAAAAAAGCACGTAAAAGCGCTCAGTGATCAAAACCTTTCCGGACGAACTTTAACTTTTGAGACCACGTTATTCTTGTTTCATTACAGCGCCGTACGTTAGGGTTGTGCAAATATAAAACATTTTGAGGAATTTAAGATGATTCGAGTGTTGACTGACAGAATGTTATTGGTCAGCTTCTCGTACTTACATAGTTGTACATGTACTAATTCATTTTCATTCCCATCCGGAGATGAGTAAATTCCTGTGCCTCTAACAGATTGTTCTCTATGTAGTACAAACCCTTCTGGTTTTCTAAATATTATATTACTTTTGGGCGTCCGCGGTCTACAGAAGGACGCTTGTGAGGAGCGCCATACGAATCTAGATAAGAGGTCAATGATTTCATATTCAACTAAGCGAAAAAGATACTCACGAAAAGACCGTAGCGCATCTGTCTAAAGTAGACAGCACGGCGCGAATCAAAGTCAACTTCAGGATCAATTTCTATGGTTCGGACTCAGCGAACAGGTCTACACAGAAAACTCATAGATGGCTTACCATTCACCCTCGGCAATGGATGCATGACGATCATATCTTCTTTGGCTCTTGACAGAACGGCATGATCAACACGGTAAGCATCTTTCACTTGCATCCATTCTGCCTCAGTTTCGAACCTCTCCTTTTGAACGCGCGTCACGTATAGCACATCAGTGTCGTGTAAGATGTCCTCAAGGGACTCGCATATTGTGACCGGTATGCCAGCCTTTCGAGCAGCAGAAACCACACTGGCGGGCATAGCGAGCGACGGAGGTGATACGAAGTTGAGCTGGACGGAATACAAACTAAGCAGGGTGACGAGACTGTGGACTGTACGTCCGTTCTTGAGGTCACCCAAAAGCGTGATGGTCCGTCCGTTGACAGTCCCCAGTTCCGATCGAATAGTGTACACATCTAATAATGCCTATCAAAGAAGGTAAGAATTACGCTTTCAATATTCGTTGAACGCCGTACCTGTGTAGGGTGCTCCCCAATTCCATCTCCTGCATTAATGATAGGAACAGGAGAGAACTTTGCGGCCAATTGTGCACTGCCAACATCCGGATGCCGTATCACGATGGCATCGCC